TCACAGGGCCACATAGAGACAAACGAGACAAACAACCATTCACTCTCTCACTCACACCTAGGGACAATTTAGAGTTACCAATCAGCCTAACATGCATGTTTTTGGACTGTGGGAGGAAACCGGAGTACCCGGAGAAAACCCACGCATGCACGGAGAGAACATGCAAACTCCACCCAGAAAGGCCCCTGGACCGGGGTTTGAACCAGGGACCTGCTCGCTGAGAGGCAGCAGCTCTACCAGCTGCGCCACCGTGCTGCCCCTAAATCAAGAATGACATTTAGAAATGTTTTTTTTTGTTGTTTTTGACAAAACACTGGTCATCAATTTCCTGTGGGATCAATAAAGTCCTATCTTATCTTAGTATGCCAAGTCTGCTGTAAAACAGTAAGCTTTGCTCCAAGTTGTATAAAGTATTGCTGAAAAAAAAAAAAAAAAAAACCCCTTTCAGAGCCCAGTAAGAATCAACCAAGCTGAAAGCTTCTGATCCTAAAATATGCAGGACAATAAGCATTTCTCTAGTGGTTTAGAGAAGGTGTGTGGCTCTGTATAGTATATTTCACAGTATATTAAGCACATTGTTCCTAGAGCTCAAGGAGCTCAAACATTCACCATGAATAATAAAAAACAATCCTAGACTTTATTCAAATGAAATGGAGCAGTCTCTTGGGAATCAGAGCAATCCACTCTATATGGCTGTGTAATCTGCTAAGGGGTAGCAGAACCAGCGATGGTTAAATCCATGTCTCATCACTGGCTCACCTCTGCAAGATGTTTACTCTCTCTTCTCATCCTTCTCTAAATTGCACTCAGGAAAACAACATGTTTTATACCTGGCTCGTCTAAATGCAACAATGTGCTAAAGATTAGGAGGTCTGCATGAAACACTTGTAGGTGGCAGGAAGTTACCTCGGAGAGGAGTTGCTGGCCGTTCTTCAGCCAAGTGTAGGACGGTTTGGGCTTGCCATTCGCTCGGCATTCCCAGTAGAGTCTCTCCTCTATGGCCAGGGCTGTGTCCTTCATGGTCTGGATCCACTGAGGCTTGGCTGAGGACACAAAAAACCCTCGTGAAAAATCTCACCAGAGCCTACAGGACAGATTTCAAGCAAGCAACATTATGTCACTGAATATGCTTCATCTTAAATAGTTCAAAGAAACCATAGATTGGCAGCTCAAGCAGAAGGGTTTGTCTTTACAGGCACGGATGGGAGAAGATTGAATTTTTCATTGCCTAAATGTGTCGCGAGCCTGTGGCAACACGAGACTACCATTAAACACTGAATCACAAAGTGGAAAGCTTTGCTGGTGGGGAAAAAGGCACCTAAAATCACCGCCCACCTGAATCTCACCTGTCACCTTAGATGAGTGTGTAAAAAAATCATTACCCCTGCACACAACTTCCTGCATGACATTTTCTCAACTTTTCAGGATTTTTTCATGGGGAAAAAATGCTGCCCTCATAATAAGTATAGTTCCCTTTGCAGGCACTGTGCAATCTGCCAGTTCCAATGTCATGGGTGTCATTTTCCTTTCTTTTATTATTTTCAAAGAAAAACACTGCAGCTCAAGGGAGCAAAGGTCCAAAAAATACATTCTTAGACTCCAAGATGACATCGTCTATTTTTGTCTTCTAAGGTTCGTGACCTAATACACATGATGACTTACATGATTAGTTTGATGCATTTCAAACAGAGAACAGCCTGCTTTGCCTTCAGCAGTCAATAAAGTTACCAAAAATAAATTTGTTGTTACTGACGTTCAATTCTAGGAAAAAGTACCTTCATCCATTTGAGTGCTGAGTCATACAACGCATATGCTTGTTTCAGTCTTGTCTTTTTAAAAACAACAATAAAAACTCAAAAATAGTCTTCAAATAGACTCAATCTAATTGTCAATGGTCCACAAGTATTTGAAAAGGCCTAAAAATATTTCTATCAAATCTATTTTTGTAAACAAATGCCTATCAGAACAAAATCTATTTTGTTACCATTAGCAATAAATAAATAAAAATGGTAAATAAATAAAGAGTGAGAACACCCTTGTGTATGTTCCTTTGTACTGAAACTATGGCACAACAATTTCCTGCGGGATCAATAAAGTTCTGTCTTATCTTATCTTATCTTATCTTATCTTATGTATATATGTTTTTCCAAAAGTATGATTCTTTCAAAAATTCTTGATCAAGTCAAACAACCTTGGGCTGACATAAAAACAGTGAAGAATTTCAAACAATCCCAACACTGATGATCAATGCATAACTAAGTGCCTTGATTTTTGCAGAGTTAGAAAAATTCTGCAATTTTTTTAAACTTTATTCTAATTTACTTTCTGTCTTTTAAAATTCCCATCAGTACCAGTTGCATTTTGCTATAAAAGTGGAGTACCATAAAAAGCCAGTCGACCAGCAGCCGTGTTCTTGCCCATCTTGTTCTCAGCCACACACTCGTACCCTCCTGTGTCGTCCTGCTGGAAGCTGGGGATCTCCAGAACAGCATTTGAGTACTTCATTTTAACTTTGCTGGGAAACGGGACTCCGTTGGCTCTCCTCCAGGTGATCTCTGGGACTGGGCTGCAAGAAACAGAGAAAGCCAACCTGAACACGTCGCTCAGGCTGCAGGCGTCTGTAACAATCCGGCAATAAAGAAGTGTTTGATGAAGTATAAAAACCTACTCTGTGTATATTTTCTGGATGAATGGCTGAGACTAAACCCAATCCAAACACATAAAAAAATTCTGCAAGAGTTTATTCCACACACTGAGAAACATAATTGCCAGAGCAACTGTACTATGAAGAAATCCAAAGGGCTTTCACCTGGAATAATAGACGCAGAGAAATTAAATTTTTTGGGGGTAGGAAATTCAGCTTACTTCCCAAGGGCGAAACACTCCAGAGTAACTGTTGATCCTTTCGCAGCAGGTACATTGTCAGGGAAATTAACTTCTATTTTCGGCTCATATTCACCCATCACTCCTACAAAGAGCAAATGCAAGAACCTCTTTCATTTATTATGCATCACAAGTTGTATGGCTGGTACTGTGACCAAACAATGACTCCATACAACCAACAGAGCAGAAATAAAAAGAACACACAAGCAAACACACTCTCATAGTAGTGCCTCACTTAATTGTAATATCACCAGGAAGTTGTGAAATAATAGTGAGGAATTATTTAAATAGCTGCGGGGGGGGGGGGGGGGGGGATTAATGTCTTCCTTTTTCCAGTCTGTGGCTTTTTATCTATTATTTCAAAGCTTGAGTGGGCAGTTTTATTGTTTGTATCAGTATTCACGGAAGGCAGTGAAGATCACGATCAGACAGTGATGCAATGGGATTTAAATTTATGCAGCTACATGTACAGTACACTGAGTGGAAACTAACTGGTTGAGCCACCAGAACACTCAGTGTAATGGTCCAGTGACGTATGACTCATGTTTAATTCATTCAAGGCAATCTTTATTCAGTCTTTCTATGAAAGCATAACAGAGAACAGAACAACAAGACCTGAGAGAACGAGCTGAAGAATTCAAAGGAAAGCAGAAGGAAAAGCTTTTAAAGTGAATGCAAATTATAAGAAAGCCAAGTCAGCAAAGGGGAGATTTAGGTGCTTTGTTTGCTCTCCATTAGCACTCAGTGACTCAAAATCAGTGAGGCACAACAGGCCAAAAAGCATTCATGCTAATCTGCTGATAACAATGACCTTAAAAAAGGAGCCCATAAAACAAGACTAAAAAGCATCTTGTCATGCCTTACCGTCCGTCCTGAGAATGAGGGACGTTGGTGAGCTGTGAACCTTGCCCTTCGTGATGCTGTTCATCACTACACAAGTGTAGTTACCCACATCCGAGCGCTCCACCTTTGCAATGTAAAGGTTTCCCGTCTGCTGGGAGACGAAACGCCGATTGTCTTGCTGAACAAAGTATGGATACTCGTTGAAGATCCACGCATACGTAAGGTCTAAAAGACACAATAGGATGAAGTTCATTAAAAAAGGGTAAGGGATTTTGTTTGTCGATCATTTTGTGTGAGTCCACATGAAAGCAGGCGTGTTCTACCTCCAGAGGAAGTAGGAGTGCCACACAGTAACACCACTCCTTGTCCCTCGCGGACTGACACAGCGCTTCTGGTGTGAACTTTGAAATGATCCAAGTCTGGAGAAAGTAATGAAAGAACAGAGAGACCACCCCTGGATTTTACATATACAAAGGAAGTGCAGCAGAACTGTGTGTGAAAGCAGGTGTCAGAAAGATCCAGACATGAGACGGTAAGAAAACTGTAATGAGAATTTTACTTCTGCAACTCCTGGAAGGAAGAAACTGACCCAAGACCTGAACAGACTATTGGACATGATTTCTACCCTGCATGCACAAATATTAGGCAAATTATATTCATCTAAAGTGAATTATTTTTCAGCAAATACAATGCTCTCAGGCTATTCAAAATGTCATTAGGACTCAAACCTGAATGTTTAACAACAGAAAAGTGGATTTTGTCTTGCTCAGGGGAATATATGCATGAATACAATTAGGCGACTGAAAGAACAAAATTATAGTTTTTCTCCGCTCGTTTACGTGTTGGCAGTGCGCTCAAAAAATGCCACAAAGTAAATAGTTTGTGTTTTTTGGTTTGCAGTTTTATTTTTATAGGTATTCCCAGGTGTAAATCTCTTGAAAGCAAACTAAAATGTTAGAATTTAGGAAAAAACGATATAATTTGCTAATGTTGGAGTTGCGTACATGGTCTATAGACGTACAGTCAATGGTGTTACTGAAAGCTGCGTTCATTTTGCTGCACCCCTGCATAAAAATACATTCCAGAAACTGGCAGCACATTTTGGAGGTGATTTTTAATCAATCTAAGGAGAATCAAAGGTCTGAAGAGCTCATCTTTACTGACAGCACCCCATGCCACTAATCTTCCTCCACCATACCGGTGACTTTAGTGAAAAATGTAATCTGTCCTTGAAGCTCAAATAACATATTTTCAAATATCTCTTGGCAAAAAAACCTCCAGATTAATTATAGTTATTGCCACGTCTTTGAGCACTTGACATTTGGCATCTCTTGTCACTTTTTTTTTTTTTTTTTGTGAAACCGGGGTGTAATACGCAGCTTCATGTTAGAATTTTTTTATTTTTTCCCGAGGCTTAATTTTAGTTAATTTGCACCTTGTCTTGGAAAAATGTGCACAAAAAGAATGATAAGGTCAGAATGCTCAGTTTCTCAGTAAAAACACATTTAACATTTGACATGTAAGCTGAGAACAGGTCAAATCGCTGTTGTTTCGACAGCTTCATGGAGGCAGTGAAGCATTTCGGGCTTAAATGTTAAAATCAAAAAGGGCTGCAAAATAGTTTTCCTTCATTAGCATTGCTCTTGGGTTTATCCAGCACTGTGTTGGTGTTGCCTAACATTCAAAGTCGACTCACGTCAACAATGATGAATGCTGCCGCTATCATCCTACTAATTTGGTGTGCAGTGTCATTATGTGCAGTCTCATAAAAGAAGCTTTAATTTTTGTAGAAAAAAGACAAATACAAAATTGAATAAAACTTACAGGCAAACAGTAGACTCGCTCTCCTGCTCAGGATAGCTCCTACAGTGTTGTAGGCCATACACTGGTACATCCCTACATCCTGGTAGCGATCCAGATTGCTTATAATGAGGTTGCCCCCAGACAGACGCCGCCGCCGATCCAGGCCCAGATTTATTAGAGTCCCATTTAGTGACCATCTGTGAGGGCAAAGACACCATCAGTTGCTGGCAAATCGTTCTGTCCATCTCTTTTTATCAGACAAGGTGATTTGACAAGACATGAATGAAAACTACATGTCACTATGCTACTTGATGGAGGATAATGAGCATCATCACTCACGCTGGTGTCAATAAACTAAAAAGAGTTGTATCTTAAATTGAACAGGAAATTTAGTCATAATCAGGTTTGATTTTTAATTTAACTGGAAAAAGACTCCAAACAAGTCACACAATATAGCACAGCTAGTTGACTTTAACCAACACAAAACTGACTTTTACTCAGTCAGTTTTGAAGACAAGAGCTAAAATTTGATGTGATAATAGATGAGAGTCGTTTAAAACAAATACTCTGAATGTGATATCTTGCCAAATCACAAGAGATCAAGCATAGCTTTTTTTTCAGTGTTTACCAAACTGGCTATAACTCCATCATTTCTTAACATAAAATGATCTTAGTTTAAAACTCTGGCATCAAAGTCAGCAGGTGATATGCACTCCTTCAATCAATGCTGGGAATATAATTATAGGACCACATCTGTCCTTTTCCTATCTATATACTGTATATGTTTTTATTAAGGCTGAACAATTAATTGCATTTGATATAATATTATGATATGATAAAACGAGATTTTCTAATTGCAAAGGCTGCAATTTGACTGGTCACGTGATCTGGTCATGTGATCTGGTTATGTGACTTGCAAGTGAGCGGAGCAAAGCAGAACAGGGAGTGGGAGAAGTCATCACTGCACTTTAACCGGTTGCACAATGGCGTCAGGCCCAACAGAAGCTGACAGAAATAACTTGAGCAATAATGGAGTTCATAGCAAAAGACATGATGCCCATTAATTTAGTGACCAAGCCTGGGTTTACAGCTTTGGTAAACACAATGAATAAGCGGTACAGAATGCCCTCGCGCACACATTTTAGACGTTACTATCCCGGAGCTATATAAAAAAAATGCAGAAACAGTTGCAGCAGAGCTAAAACTGAGTTTTTTGCAACTGAAACAGATTTATTGCTTGTGTTCAATGAAAAATGCATGAGAAGACGACATTGAAAAATAATCACATATTAAATCGCAATATTGAGGTAAAAAAAAATAATTAGAATATTTTCCAAAATCGTTCAGCCCTAGTTTTTATATTTGCAGTGCTGCATTGTAAAAACCTTTTCAGGCATTCTCTTTTCTCAGTTGGGTTAAGGGTGAATCTTTCATCTCATCTCTCAAAAAAAAAAATTAAAATTCATAACCTGATGTGCTTCATGATCTGCTCAGCACAGCTGTCAAAATAAAAGAGTCGAGAAAAGATGCAGCATACGATTAGATGAGACATTTATCACCATCTATTATCAGTGAGATTTGACCTGTCAGATCAATAATGCCTTTTAAGTTGAATCAATCTGCTCATAGAAGATCCCCTTTGTGACTAGCATTAATACGGTATCTGCCAGTGAACGCATGGCTGGTTTGACTTTGTGGGTTTTAGTTACAGGTGGATAGCCTTAAGCTTAGCAAGATGATTTCTCTGACCATTATGATCTAGTGCGAGTCCAGCAGCAAACCCCAAGTGCCAACAAATGCATGGAAATCTGTTTAAATTGTCCAACTTCGTGGTTTTCATCTGTAGATATGCGCAGTACTTTAGAAGCTTTTTACTTTTATTTTACTTCCAGCTAAAGGAGGAAAACAACAACCAGCCAGCAAAACAGACTGAGGGAGAAACAGTGAAACCGGGAACAGTAAAATACTTTTTTGTGGAAATGACAACAGTTCTGATTACTAGAAATACAATTAAACCTTTGAGAGTAAGATAACACTGACTGCTCAACATGTTTCACATGTTTTTAACTGCTAAAATTATGGAAAGGCAAATATCAAGTATCATGACAACACCTTTTCCTGCCCACTTTTCAGTCTGTTCAAAGGCAGCTATAATATCAGCATGCCAGAAAGCACATATTTTAGATTAGGTTTGCGTTATTGCTCAATTTTTCGTGCATTTCAATCCAGTTTTGAGGAATTACAGGTTCAACTGATCCTCTTGCCTTTTTTTTTCCCATCTGGATGACTTACGAATTGACAATCAGTTAACAAAACAAGGCACATAATAAGAAAAAGAGGATCTCGCATATCGAGGATCTTGAGGTTCTCGCATCCGCTATCAGCAAATATGTCTGCGATTCTAGCGCACTTGACAAAAGCTGCTTTAAATTTGACTTGTAGTAACCAAAGCTATGTACGGTCTGCTACAAAACCAGCCAATAAATAGCTCTGGGTGATGTCTCACACTCGTTAGCATATTTGTAGCATCATCACATTGTTTTTACAATCTGCTTTGTGCAAACTAGCCCCTTACATTTTCTGTGTGCTCATGTTTGTCAGTAAAACCAAACAAAGCTGCTCTGGTTCTCGTATTTTTCTGTTTCTTCCATTATTGCAGTTCTAAAATGGTGACTGAAAAGCTGCTCATTATTACTCATCAGCATTTAGCTTCAAATGAATAAGGCTGTGCTGTGATAAAAATCTCCATTTTTTTTAAGCACAGTGTCATAAATAAGCATTTATTTCATTTAAAAATAAGCTTGTTCTGTTATTTTGGCTCCTACATATGCTGTAATCAGTCAGAGAGAAAGTCAGAGGAGGCAGAATGTCTGTGGGTTTGCTTCTCTCTCGCTGCCTTGTTTCTGCGTGCACACTGAGCTGTGCACGCATCCCATGGGAGAGCACTTTAACACAGTAAATAATATAAACCAATGAGCCGCGGTCCCTGTCTGAGGAGCCGCTGTTTATTCAAACCCGCTGTACGAGTCCCAAAATGCTTTGGCTCACTGGGAAAAGTCTGCTCTGCCAGATCACCATCCCAGTCCTAAATTACTCTAAACACAGAACGTGCCCTCTGAGTTTTACTGTCAGCAATACGAACCTGAGTTGTGATGTGCCTTATTACAACAGACCAGTTGGTTCGGTTGAACAGAAGCAGCAGGCAGGATAGGATCTGAGTCTTGGATGTACATCTACAGTAGACCCTCACTACGTCGCGGTTCGACTTTCGCGGACTCGCCCTTTCGCGGTTTTTCAACGATTGTCAACTTTAATATTACTCACGTGTTTGGGACGGTAAGGAATAAAATGTTAATGAAAAAAATTACTTTGGACTGGTGCCGCCATTTTGTAGTTTTCTTTCAATAAGCCTTCACTGTAAGGCCAATCAAAAGGACTACACTACCCAGAAGCCAACAGTGCTTCTGGCCGCTGCTTTCTGCCGAAATGGAGGGAAAGTTTTTGATCTGATTTGAACCTGACTAAAACATTCGGTCCTTATTCATAGTGACTTGGGCGCTCAGTGGATGCAGAGATCCAATCAGAACCAACTGGAATTGGACCAGGACTACGTCCAGCCTCATCGGTCAATCTGAGTGCTGCTTGCAGCCCAGGAAGTCTCTCAAGTGGGCAGGCATTGCTTGGAGGTCCGGTTTCGTCTCCAGAGCACACACAGAGTTTTTTCATCCAGATTCTGCTGGATTATTTGGACTCGATCGAGACCATTGTGTGGTTTTGTGTTGGGTGTCTGAAAATCCGTCTCTCTCCAAAAGCATCTGATGCTCAACGGCTGCAGAGAGCCGATCAGAACACAACTAGAACCAAACCAAGGCTGGTGAGTACCATATCAAATTTTGCAGTAGCTGCTGTACAGTACATATACTATATGTATGTTGTTAAAATGACATAGGTTTAAGAGTTTAGAACATTGCAAGAGTGTGGGAAGGGTTTCTAAAGCCTTAAATAAATATAGCATTCCTACTTCACGGTTTTTCACCTATTGCGGGGGTGTGTGGAACATAACCTCCGCGATAATCGAGGGACTACTGTACTTTGGTGTCACTTTTAGCGCTCCATTTATGATATCCACCACAGGTAATCAAGCTTAGCAAAGACAAAAGTGTCTTTACCTTAGATCATTTTTCAAATGTTAAGTGGACCCGGTGAGTTTGTAGCTGTATGTCATTTGCAGCACTTAATCTGAGCACCAACTGATTGTACAGTTTAAATTCAATAATTCAATAAAATGTACACATTTTAATCAGTTATTCAATTGGACTTTTGCTACCATCATTTAACTTTTACTATGAAAATTGCTCACTGGTGTTTCTAAATGTCAATGTTAACTTTTGACGAATGGTCTGCAACTTTTTGATTTATTAAAAAAGGGAAGAAAAAACAACAACATGTGAACATATTTTTTGTTTACTTTTTCATTCTGCTGTTCTTTATTTACCTTTGACACCACTTCCTGCTGCAGCTAGCTCATTCCCCCCACTGGGATCATTAAATTTTAATCTTACAGCATCACACACAAAGACGCTCTCTGCTATTCAAGGCAAGGAGAAGATTTCCGATGCTCTCATCAGTCTGACTATAATCACATCCTCTGTCACATTCGATTAACATAATGTGACATTATTCCACCTTTGACTTATCATTAGGGCCAAACATTAGCACTAGATAAGAAGTAACAGCAAGCTGATCGAACAAAGGAGGCCATTTCTACTCATTTGCACCATCTGTTCCATCTTTCCCACAATTTTCAGGCATGAGAGTGTGAAACAAAAATATTTGCACAGAAGGGTTAAAAAAAATCTAATAAACGGGGCACCTGAATGAACTCTTAAAGGCGACAGGTTAATACATTGATTAAAACAAGTCTCATTATTCCACAAGAAAATCCTTCTTTCCTCCTGTTTAAAACTGAGAGGCGATAGATTCAAGGACAGGTCATGTTTCAAGAAGGTCCCATCATTTCTTTTTTTTTTTTACTCAGCATAAAAAAAAAAACTGCTTCTATCCATCAGCAACAATCTTCTTTTATATGCTTAAGTGGAAATGACAGGAGCGGGGAGGACATTGTGACAAACTTTCCCCAAAATTTCAAGTTAAAAATTTAAAGTAATTTCTAAAAGATTCGTGTCCCTGAACGCAG